AACCGTCCTTGTGTACCTATCACCGCAGGACTTGTGTCTAACATGGCCCCCTGGGAGGCAGGGCAGGGCTATTACCTCCAATGTTGAGGCATGGAGATTGACTGTCCCAAGGTCACATAGGACGTCAGTGGCAGAGCAGGGATTTGAACCCAGGTCCTAAGCACTGGACTGGCCCTGCATCCTCAGGGCAAGGGTCATGCCCACACTCTCAGCCTCTCACAGCACTGGGGCAAGGGCTGCTGGGCTGGAGTCAGCATGCCCCTCCCCGGTTGTTTCCTATCCCTGGCCCTGGGCTCTCAGGCTGGCTGTGTCCCCAGCTTGTTTGCAGTGGGACAGTTGGGGAACCCGGCAGAGGAAACCAGTCGAGCAGCGTCAGCGTCGTGGGCTGCGCTGGCACAAACAAGCGCTGCAGGGCAGGGGCTATAGACGGGGCAGCTGCCGTGGCCCGGGCAGTTTGCAAGAATGCAGAGGGGGAGGCGGCTGCTGGCTGAGCTACACAGAGGGCAGGGGCAGCAGGAAAGTCTCAGGAGAGGAAAAGCACCAGGAAACCAGAGGCCAGGCCAAAATGAACATGAACAGATCCCAGCAGGCAGGGGCCTGACTCCCACATGGATGCTCGTTAAATATTTGGGGATCTTCAGGCGGCGGCGTTAAAGTCAAGTGAGCTGATCACGCAGCTCAGCCTCCTGGTGGGTTACCCAGTTCCTGGGCCCTGGGGCAGCTGGATGAGGGCTGAGCCCACCCTGAGCAAAGTGCAGAGTCCCCCCCAGGTCCCAGGCCAGGGGCACTGCTGCCAGCTGAGCCCCATGCCCTGGAGCCAGGCCAGAAGGGTGGAGTGCCCACGCCGAGATCAGAGACAGCACAGGCATTAACGAGGATGCTGGGCAGGCACGGTGCATGTTCAAAGCCCCAGCCAGGCAGCTCATTAGCTTCCCCTTCAGGCACAGCAGGGCTAGCCCTGTGGGGCTGGGAGGGAGGCTCTCTAAGCAAAGGCAAAGGAGGGGAAAGCAGCAGGGTGCTGGGCTGCAGGTGACGGGAAACCAGGATCTCTACTTACCCAGAGACGCCAGCATCAGCACAAGAGGCAGGGCCGGCACCATTCTCGTTTTGCTCTAGAAGGGAGAGACGGGTCAACGCCGGCCCCTGCTCTCTCCAGGGACAGCCAGCACCGAGGTCACAGCCTTGGCCCAAGGCACACACCCCACCCTGGCAAAGTAGGGGCTGTGGCAGGGGACTTTCCAGAACGGTGCTACTGCATCAGTACAAGCGCCGTCGGGTAACAGGCAGGACTGGAGCCAACGCCAGCGAAACCCCAGAGCAGAGCTCCTGCCTTGAGGGAGCAGTTCCCCCCTCGCGCCATCAAGTCATCGCACTGCAGCCGCGTCCCGTTCTGTTGCCCATGGACAGGCCACGGCTGGGGCTGCCGCCGCCTTTGCTTTGCCAGATACGGACCTGGCCCTTACCCCCCGCCACGCCTCAGGGAGTTTCATGAATCCATTCCCTCTCCTTTGGAAAAGCAAGGGGCAGCGGATACGTTACGGACTGGAGCCACTTCTGAGCTATGTGATGGGGAAGTTGGAGGGAGCTTTTAAAACCTCCTTTTTGGTAACGACCTTTCAGCTTGGTTTGTGGCCCAGCATTTCAGCACAAATGGGAGGGGGTGAGGTTGAGCTTGTCCACAGACGCGGAGGCAAGCGCTAGCAGGTGTTTTCAAAAACATCCGCAGAAATGGTTATGTTGATACGGACAATCCAGACACCCCGACAGACAGTCTCCTGGTTTGAGCCCCCCAGGGAGGTCAGGTCAGACTGGCACCTCTAGCCACTTGCCACCAGGGCTGGATTTCACACCGCGGAAATGTCTGCAAACACTCCTGCCAGAACATGCGAGTCCCATTTTCCCCTACATGAAGTGCAAATTTGCATAACTACAGAGAGTTTGTTCCAGTTGCTTGTGTCTCACCCACACAGAATTAACTCCATGTTTATAGGAACAAATCTAGAGAGGCAGCATTCGGCGGGGCACTTGGTGTTCCAAGAGAAGCCGAGGGACGGAGGCACACTCAGAGCTGCCATTTTGCTCAGTGTCTGATGATCAACTCTTTAAGAACAAGACATTATTGGGGAAATAAACCTTCAGCCTGTGAAACACACACAGCCCTCACTGCTGAATCCAAAGCTGGCAATAGCAAAAGATACAACACAGAGAGTCTCGTATGAGAATTGTGTTCCACTAAAAACATCACTAAATCACCCTGGTTTTTATTTTTAAAAATCTCCTTTCGTGTGTGTCGTTGTTTTGGCCCTGGACAACCCAGTGCCCCATAACACATTTCAATAGGCGTTTGAGATGGGGTGGATTAATCTCCAAGAAACAGGGATGTCGACAAAAAGGAACTAGAGTAAACCTGCCCTTGGTTGGCTGATTTAAAGCTAACTTGAAGCCACGTTTATTCCTGGGTGTTCTCAGAGACTCAAAGCAGTGGCCAGGCTGGGTACTTAGCTGGTGAGCTCCAGGAGGTAGAGCCTGTCTCCTTTGTGCTCTGCAGAGCTAAGTCCACCAACAACAGTAAGCAGCGAGAGGGGACGGCCCAGCTCTGGCTGGGGGTGTAAGGCAACGTGCCGGCGCTCTGCACGTGTGATAGAACAGTGTGAAATGGCAAAGTGCTGGGATAGTACAGAACCAAAAGGGAGGGGAAATTCCACACCCAGACTCCTCACTACAAAGGAGTCACCTCTTCTCTCAGACATTGCGATAGATTTTTCTTCATGCAACTGCAGTTTCATAGGCCCGTAGGTCCCGGAGCGGAACCCAGAGCCAGCACCAGCTGCCACGAAAGCAGAACTGCTTTTGAGGCTGTGAAATGAAGGCTTTTCAAGCTGAGCGTGCTTGCCCAAATACAATGGTATGAAACAGACGCTGCCTCCCGCTGCCCTCTGTGTTGAGGAATCAAAGGCCAGCTAGCAGTAGCAAGGATCTCGCTAATTCTCCTTGCTCGTGCCCCTGAGTAAAAAGAATTCAATGTTTAGAATTTGCCAATGAGAGGTCTGCCCCGAGAGGTCTGTCATGCACTCAGGGCTTGCTTGGAGCATGTACCACGATAGCACAGCAGAGCTCCATGCACAGAGCTCCAAAACCCCTGGCTGCAGCATTTCCCAGTGCAGACTGGCTTCACTCCTAGTCTTCGTATGGGGCTAGCCTGTCATAACGGCATCTCCAGCAAGCACCTAAACTGGGCACCAAATCCACATGTGCTCACTCTGCAGCAGCTTATAGCGAGTTTCAAAACGTCTCAGCACCGACCATACCCCCAACCACTGAGCTCACTTACCGAATCAGACCCTTCTCATGCCCAACCGCCGTGTGTTACCTTCTCGCTCAGAACCCCACTGACTCAGTATTTCTGTGCAGCAAATCTGGCAACAGGCACTCGGTGAGCTGCAGCTGATGGTAGGGGCTCAGTCAAGGGCATGATGACACAGACATCAGGATCCTTCCCTGGCATAACTGTCCTTCAACCAAACTCACTCACTGGCTTTGGCACTACCACTGCCTTTTCGTTCTCCTGCTCTAGCGCAACGGAGGCTTCCAGCTGCAGGGTAGCTGAGATCAGCCTTTCAACTTCCCCAAGCTCTACGTCAGAAAGAAAATGAACCAAGATCATGCAGACACTCACCAGAGTTTGCAGCAGATCCCCCACTTCACATGCAAAGTGTTCGCCGGTGACTAATTCAGAGACCTCCAGAGCCCCATGATGGCCTGAGTGAAGCAGATGCTGGAGGCTGCACGTGCAGGACTTACACTTAGCCCTTGCTTTCAGATCTGATTTGTCTCGTTCAGGGGAGTGTAATAACCAGAAAGGGCAGGAGGGGCTGTAGGCAGATACTCCGATACATACAGCACTCTCGCTGCCAGGGAGAAGCTGCTATCCACAGACTTAGGATGTGCCTGAACTCCAAACATTTAATTACATCAGACAACTCCAATCAAATCCACTAGACGGGTCCGTAACGGAGCCAGTTCTCCAACTCAGCTCCTTACTCTTCACCTGCGCTTCTGGGACAAAGTAAGTTACCAAATAACCGGCTCAGGGAGGGAGGCAGCTCAGCACCCCAAGGCACAGGGCCTGTTTGTGTGGCAGCTCAGCTTGTATCTAAATGCTAACTTTCACAAAGTCACGTGTTTGATGTCATGCCACTCGCTTTACTGTTTAGAGTCTGGATTCAGGACACTTGGCATTCCACAGCAGAGAACCACGCATTACCTTCTCCACTCTAACCCCCAATTTCAACACCAGATCTGCTGCTTCACTTCTTTCCCTCGCTGGGCGCTGTTCCACTGCTGGCGTGACCCGCTGGAGCTGGATTTCCATATAACCAACAAAGGAACCATTTTGCTCTCACATACTTGAGTTAGTGTAGCTTTGTACCAGTGTAATCAAGCCCAGGACTTGGCCACTTTGCGTAAAACCTTTGGCCTCTTTTGGAGGGAAAGTTCTGTAGAAATGGGAGGCTCTTTATTTCTGCAAAGCACTGAGCAGTTCGCTGCTGCCCAACCTGGAGCAGGAAAGCCAGCTCATGCTAGCCTGCCAGTAACTCCTACTAAGATACTTCCACGGGCTGGATTTTTTTTTTTTTTTTTTTTGGACAGTCGCTACATCACCAGTAAGTGCAAACTTAGCTGCGGAAAGGGAAAATTTTCATCGTTTGAGACAGAGCCTCTGGACTGATTAGCCAGTCGGATTCATACAGCACTGTAGTTTGCATCTGACTGACGGGATACAGCACCGCAGTGACAAGGAGATACCCATGTCAGAAACTGTGGCTTGGATGGGAAATTGTGGGGTCTCTTCTATTAAATCTGCTCCTAAGCATATTTCCCATCATCAGTAGGGCTCTTCCTTCAGCTGAGTCAGGCCGGATAGCTTCACAAGCTCCTCGTCAAACTCAGCCACATGCCTGCCAGTTTCTAGCCAAAATAAAGAAAATCATGACCCGGAATATAACAAAATGATTTATTGGCCATGACACCAGTGCATCTATAGCACAAGGGACCTCCACCGCCCAGTGAACACAAGCAGCGCTAGCAGCAGTTTGAGTGCTAAGCAGAGATGCATGTGACTGCAGCTACCTCCTCCCTTTCTCACTGGGCAGTGATGGTGAAAGATACGCCACCCCTTGCAGGCCATGGGGCAGCAGTCAGGTGCCCAGCCTTCTGGCAGCTTAATAGTTTCCCATTCAGCACTTGCATGTATAAAAAGTTCAGACTCCCTCCTGGAGTTACAGCAAGTTCAGTGCTGCAGGGGATTATGGACAAGGCTCTTTACAATACTCTCATTTACCAGGATCGTTACATCTGCCCGCTGTTGCGTAGACGGGGGCACCCAATGCTCAGGCAACCTGAGGCACAGGAGGAAGCATGAGACGAGGAAAGGCACTTCCCAGCCTGAGCAGCAAAGGCAGGGCCAGGACAAGATACAAACCTGTTCCCAGCCAAGTCAAGAGCAGCTCTCTCAGACTTGCAGTGAAGCAGGCTGGGGCACCCAGAAACCTCGGAATTCTAGAGGCAACATCAGATGGTGTTCCCAGGTGCTCATGCCACCCTGGGGCAGAGCAAGACTCCTGCCTGGGGTGGGCAGTGAGGGAACTATATGGGGAATCCCATTGCCTGGATTCTGTATCAGGCTTCCTGGGATGACAAGGACTAGGCAGTGGTGGGGTAAGCCTGTGCTGGAGGCATCAGTCTCAGAACCCCGTGTTATCCACACTGCTGCTTCCACAGACAGGTCAGAACTCAAACAGGATGCAATGCCACCCGAGCATAGAGCCGCTGTCCTCACAACGCTTACTGCCGGGGCTGGGGGAGGAGGGAAAGTCGGGAGAATTCAGTGATTTCCCAGCTAAGCAATGTATCGTGCCAGCCCTCTGGGATGAGTATCAGTATTTGCTAATATCCTGATGCACTGTTCTCCTCACTAAGAAACTTCAGAGCCTTTCTGTAGATTCCTACAGCCGCCCAGGAATTCCACACCCCTCACTAGAGCCTCCCGGCCTAAGACGAGGCCGCTCTCTGCTCCATTCGCTCCCGCTCTCAGCTCCATAAGCATGACAGCTAAGATGTCCATCAATATTCCAGTGTCAGAGGGGTAGCTGCGTTAGTCTGAATCTGCAAAGCGACAAGGAGTCCTGTGGCACCTTATAGACTAACAGATTTATTGGCACATAAGCTTTTGTGGGCCCATTATTCCTAGGGCTGATTTTCCTATCAAAATTATTCTGCCAAGGTGCCATGAACCACTGAGTATCCCAGGGTCCTAGTAGCCTTCTGGAGGTGACTTTGGTACGGTTTGTTTTCTCTTCATCTGCAGCTTTGGGCTTCCATCAGTATGGTTCTTCCTCATCTGTGTCCTAGACAGAAAGCATCGAGAGAGAGCGAGATTAGGCATGAAACAATCACAATGCTCAGCAGACACAAACTGGGCAGATTCAGACAAGAGAGTAAGTGTTTCCCAGAAGCTGGTCATTTTGAAAAAGCCAACACTCTTGCAAAAGCCTTAGGCTTAGTGTCTCTACTCAAGTCTGCAGACAAATTCTTCCACATGTCTTCAAGGAGCCTGGTTAAACTGGGACTGCAAGAAATTCAAGTGGAGCAGGTTTAAGTGGAGTAACTAAACCTCAAAGCACAAGGCACGGCCACAACCACCCCCAAACACTAGGTCCAGCACCACTCCCTACAGAGAGCCGATCCAGAACAGGTCAAGCAGCCATTTGCTTACTCACAATCTCCACACCAGACTGGAGCATGCCTGACCTTATGGGTTTAAGAGACAAGCACATACACTTAGAGCGCGTGCCAACCGGCTTGTGGGCAGTCACACAGCACTGTTCATGTCTAAATCCTGCTGCCACAGTCTGCCTCTCCTAGCAACTCCACGCTTTCAGATCCCCAATATCTTACACGAGGGACAGCAACCTGGCACTTCCTAGCTTTCACTGCTCACTGCTCTGCTACAACAGGAATGCAAATGTACCTGCCTTATCAGCAAACCCCTCCGCTGGCTCCCCGCTCCTCTCAGGAGCCGAGTCTGAGCAGCTTCTGTGGCTTTTTACAATTGAAAATGTTTGTCTAATGCATTACAGATGAACTAAAAGGCACATCGCATCAGCATCTCTGAGCCCAGGAGACTCCTGGAGTGCTAAATAGTCTGTTGTCAGCTAAGAACAACATGGCAAAAAACAGGATTAAAGCCACAGTGATTAGGCCTCGGCTGGAGTACTGTGTCCCGTTCTGGGCACCACATGACATGAAAGATGTGGACAAGAGCAAAAAAAAATGATTAAAGGTCAAGAAAGCATGATCTATGAGGGAAGACTGAAGGAACAGGATGTGCTTACCCTAGAAGAGAGAAAACACGGTAACAGTTTTCAAGTACAGGCAGGCCCCGGGGTACATACAAGATAGGGACTGTAGGTTTGTTCTTAAGTTGAATCTGTATGTAAGTCGGAACTGGTGTCCAGATTCAGCCGCTGTTGAAACTGATCAGTTTCAGCAGCGGCTGATGCCAGTTCCGACTTACATACAGATTCAACTTAAGAACCCCAGGCGTCCCCAAGTCAGCCGCTGCTGAAACTGACCAGCGGCTGACTACAGGAAGCCCGAGGCAGAGTTGCTCTGCCCCTGGCTTCCTGGAATCAGCTGCTGATCAGTTTCAGCAGCAGCTGACTTGGGGACGCCTGGGGCAGAGCAGCTTGGGTGCTGCTGGGTTGGTCCAGTAGCGCGGCCGCTCCTCGGCGTTACTAGACCAACCCAGCAGCACCCCAGCTGCTCTGCCCCAGGCATCCTGATTCAGCCGCTGCTGAATCAGGACGCCTGAGGCAGAGCAGCTGGGGTGCTGCCGGGTTGGTCCAGTAGCGCCAAGGAGCGGTGCTGCGGGACCAACCGGCAGCACCCCACCTGCTCTACCACAGGCCCCGGGCTTTGCTCCACGTCTCCCTAGTCTGCTGGGGGGGCCCACTAGCTGCGTCCCCCCCCCCCCTCCAGCAGACCAGGGAGACGCTGAGCAAAGCGGTGGAGGACCCGGGGCCGGCCCGCAGCGCTTCCAGATCAGCTGGAAGCGCCGCGGGTCCGGCCCCGGGTCCTCCGCGGCTTTGCTCAGCATCTCCCTGGTCTGCTGGCTCCCCCAGCAGACCAGGGAGATGGGGAGCAGCTTTTCTCGCCCCGGAGGAGGCGGGCGGCGGGACCAGGCGTCCCGCCGCTCCAGTCCTCCGGGGCGAGAAAATCCCCGTTCGTAACTGCGGATCCGACATAAGTCAGATCCGCGTAACTCGGGGACTGCCTGTACATAAAACGAGGGAGATTGTTACAAGGAGGGAGAAAAAAAATAGTCTTCTTAACCTGAGGATAAGACAAGCAGCAATGGGCTTAAATTGCAGCAAGGGAGGTTTAGGTAGAACATTCAGAAAAATTTAACTGCCAGGGTGTGTAAGCACAGGAATAGACTGCCTGGGGAACGTGGTGAAATCTCCATCATGGGAGCTATTTAAGAGCAGGACAGACACCTGCCAGGGATGATCTCCTACACCAAAACTAACTTTTTTTTCAAAATCGAAGACTTTCTGCTTTCTTCCTACATGCACATTGTTTGACCCATGGTAAGTGGAGCAAGTTAGGCTGACTATATAACACAGAGACATGGCACTGAGTGTTGTAGGCTCATTCCCCTGTCCCAAAACACACTGGGACGGACACAATGAGAACGATCCCTCTAATCACGCACATCAGGGAGTACGTACCAGGATACGAGATGTCTTCAGCTGTGGCCATTCAACACAGCATGGAACAAGGCAAGTTGTAGTACAGTACGTTTAACACCAAAGCCACTGCAGGTGCTCACAGAGGTTGGTGAAGGGGTGACCATGGTGAACAGAAATAGTAGCAAAAGAAGCACAGAACAGAGCTTACAACAGGGTTCTGCTGTAACCAGAACAGCATAAGCAGGGCTCGCCGAACCGTGGCAAATCCCGCTCGCCAGCCGCACTGTCCGGCGATCTGCGCATGCATGGATCACCCGAACCCAGCTCTTCCGGGTTGCCATCTACTTGCCACGGGCAAGTAGACTGTATTATTTGTTGAGCCCTGAGCATAAGTATGGAGTTTTCTACTCCGAAAGACCCAAGCTAACCCAAGCCTGCTTGCTATCACCTTTGGAAGAAAGCAAAATGGACTGAATATGTTTCTGTCTCCAGCCTCTCTACCGCCACACTGCTTACCCAGCAGACACCACACACTAGCCCTACCCCACCCATGGAGTGAAGAGATTCACCTTGGTCTCTGCAGGAGAATGGCAGCAGGGTGAGGTTAAAGCACTGACTTTTCACCACTGGAAACCTGAGACTTAATCCAGATCAAACCCCATATGAAATGAATTTGGTGGGTCTCAAGCTAATCACATGCACCCAATAATGCAGCACTTTCTATCCAAAAGGTCCAGAGACGGAAAGCAGAGAGAGGTATCACCTGAGTTGTGTGGGTGCTCATGTTGAGCTCTCTGTTCTTTGCCCTCACTCTTAAGAGAGCTCACATGGACAAACAACTAAAGGAAAACTGACCTGAACTTACCACACAGTGCAAACACCATGTACCCATCTTCCCTAGGCAGGTGCCCGGCTCACTGTGCTCAAGCCTGCAGAAAGAGAAGAGTGTTAGGCTGATGTGTCTCCTGCTCACACCCCAATAAAGACCCAAGACTGGGTTTGTTTTCCAACACACAGGTCTCTTCCCAGCTCTTTTGACTAATTCATCAGAAATGCCTTTGCTGTGATTATGTTTGAACTAGCCAAGCAGAAAACCAGCATGTTTCACTTCTTATTTCAAAGGTTTGGCCACTTGATTTATGTTTGTCTCACAAACTCCTATTACTATTATTCATCATGCTATTAGTAAAAGAACTGCTGTTTGGCTGGAAAGTTTCAGCAGCCATTAACCAAAATATTTTAGTTAAAAAGATTGTGACTAATGCGGACCTGACATCCCAGGAAAACTAACTGGTGCATTTACAAGAAAGGCAGTTAGCATTAGAGCAGTAGGGTTTTCGGACACTTTGACTGAGACCCACTACAGAGCTTACTTCTCTGGGCTGGATTAAATCTGGTGATGGAGGTGCAAGCTTGGTTCTATATCCCAACAATAGTTTAACTCAGCTGCCTCACAAAGAGGATGTAAAGTGCACACTTAATTCCATTACATTCCCAATAAGGATGTTAAGTAATGGTTAATTTACTAGTCGAGAAGGGCACTTCCACATTCCACTCTGGGGCTCTTGTACACTTCAAAGGAGGAATGTCGAACTCCGGGTATGTCTACACTACATGGCTCCGTCAACGGAGCCATGTAGATTACCTCTATAGACATAGGAAAATGAAGCAGCGATTTAAATAATCACCACTTCATTTAAATTTAAATACCTGCCCCTCTGTGCCGATCAGCTGTTTGTTGGCACAGTGCTGTAGTCGGGACGCTCCACGGTCGACATCAAAGACATTTGTTGACCTCCCCGTAAACCTCATCCCATGTGGGGGAGGAATTGACTAGTCATTAACATCCTTAATTCCCACAAGGTGTTTTCAGAGACTCTGACTACCAGCAGACCTGTGCCCACTGACAATGAAATCTCGATGCAGAACCCCAGATGTTGTGGGTTTTGAGATATGAGAGGCCAGAAAGCACCACCCATGACCACAAGACAGAGGGGAAATGGGGTTTAGTTCAATGCAAAACTTACTCATCATCAGAGACTTCAATGGAGGATTTCTTATAGCCAGATTTTTTTTGGTGCTTTAGGACTCCAAATTTCCTTCCCATTCGCACCAGCAGCAGAATGACCACAATGGCAGAGGGGAGAAACACTAAGATGGATAGCAACACTGCTGACATTAGCTGCGAAGAAAAGCCTGCAGGAGAGAGCGAATAGCACTAGAATACGGCTGTGTTCCACCTCAAGGGCAAACATTAACTCAGCACACAGCCACCTGGCCTTTTTTATAAAAAGCACAAGGCTGGCTGGGGTTAAAGGAACTTGTGACAAATTCAGAACTCTACTCTTTCCATGGAGGGAAGGAAAAATTAAATCTGAGTGCAACGAAGAAGCAAACATTCAAAGCCAAGTGAGAGGGGAGTCCTGTCAAACTGATGGACATGCCCAATTTGCAAGCCTAGGGACAGCTCTCTCATACAGGGTAGATGAGGCAGTTATCCACTAGTGCGTGTGTGAAGCATCAAGTCATTGTTAAGACAGCATGGCTGGGAACTATCTGATTAATGCTGCATCCTCTTAGGTGGGAATCCTAGACTGACAATCTTGTGTCCTGAACCTCTGCGGAGGGATGCCCCTCACCTCCACTACTCCCTGCCCCTTTTTCACTGCACAAGTGCTAACCCCCAGTGAAGTTTGGGGTGATATGAACTCCTCAAAAAGACATCAGAGGCGATGCCTGCTCTTCGGAAAACACTGCTGCCATCTTTCACCTCCATGCAGGACAGACGGATCTCAATTGATCTAGCTGGAAAGGAAAGGGGTTGAGAAGATGCCCTGATGGCATTTAAACTGGAGTTTCAGGGAAGCAAAACACTTCAGATCTAGTGCTTGGTCTCTAAAGGCTACCAGCAAAACAGGAATGCATTCATGAGAAATAAGTAGGGAGAATACTGCCACGTGAAAGTCTTACGCCTGTGTGTGACCGTCAGCTTGGTCTGAGGGATGTTGTGGTGCACATCTGGAGGATTCTTCACAGCACAGGTGAACGTCCCATTGTCATTCAGCGTCAGATTTTGGATAGCAATGGAGGCATCACCCTTGCCAATGTTCCCAACCCACAAAATCCTGCCTCTGAATGTTCCCGCTACAGCTGGGTATGCAACAGACTGAAAATGAAAAATCTGAAAGAGGAAAGACAATAATTGTTCCAACAAATCATTCATTTAAAGACAGACAGACAGTCAGAGAACACACCTTTCAGAGAGTAACAGGGTCAAGAAGAACAACTCAGTGACAGGCGTTCAACCTCAGGTACACCACGGGCTCATAAACCCACAACAGCAGGCACCAGTGCACCAGCTTTTCAGATCTTTTTTATATTTTTCCCCAAGGTGGAAATGCACATCAGGGCTTTTCATACTAAGGGGAGAGCCCTGAGGAGCTCCCTCTTTGTCCACCAGTTCCCAGGGCGCACAGTCACCATCATCTTTCTGGCCAAAGAGGATCCAAGATGGAAAAGGATGCTCTGGTGCAGTGGTTCTTAACCTGCAGCCATGGGCCACTTGCAGCCCAATCAGGACACAGTTGAGGCACATGCGACAACCTCAGGGCCATACAAGTTCTATATAACGAGTGGGTGTGGCCCACAAGACACAGAGGGCTGCTCTGCAGCACACAAAGGTAAATATGTTAAGAACCACTGCTCTGGAAGCGAGGGTGCTCTCCTGTACCCTGTACTATGGCAATACCTTAGGCAGACAGCTTTTCAAGATAATCAGCAACTTGGAGTGGGGGAGAAATCGCTTTTACTGGGCCAATTCCCATTGGCAAAAGCAACAAGCTTTGGAGCCAGACAGAGCTCTTCTGCAGCTCACAGCTACAGCCATATTGCATCAGTGCCAGTCTGGAGTTGTAACGCTCGCTCCCCAGCCCCTTGGAAAGCACTGGAACCTTGTCACAGGCATGCGATGACTGAATGCTGCAAGTCTGCAGCTCTGACTTTAGGTCATTCACAAAACAGTGCTCACTTCCCATCAAATTGTCAGGCTGGCCGGCCACAAGGGACTTACCAGAGCCTGCTTTAAACAGACACCACCACATCCTTCTAGTTGCAACATACCATTCCCAAGAGCTCAACCTCAGCTAAGCAGAGGATGTCACTGATGATTTAAACAAAGAATGAGACATCTAGGCACCTGTGCCTGGATATTGTAACACTGCCAAAAATAACTGGTAAGAGTCTATAAATCCTTTGGGACCAGCTGTTATCAGTGCCTGCAGATTGTCTGTACACACACCACTGCCACTCCACCACAAGTTTCCCTTCCACCACAGGACAAAGCTGCCATGTTCCGTTCTACATGGGAGGTTTTCCAAACCATGTGATTCCTAGTGCATTTATGTGGATGCCTAGTTTGCAATGGGACAGTAATTTCTTAGGGTTATAATTATTTGCGTTTACATGGTGCCTTTAGGCCCCAAAAGATTCTAAAGAAATTCATTCAATAGATACACCGCAGCACTGAAATGCAGCCGTCACACAGCAGCAGAGAAGCACACAGAGACAAATGCTGACTTTTTACATGAAATGCCATGGGACCTTCAATCTTTCCGGAGACCTGCCCACCCTGCATGAAAGGTTCTTTGGGCTACCCATCTGCAAGTACTTACTGTCTGCGTATGGCCACCTGTGAGGGGCTGGTAAGTCCAGTCTACAGTCAGCTTCTCAGTTATGGGAGAGAAGGATCTGAATGAGCATTTCAGGGTCACCTGTTCATCCACAAAAGCTCGTACTTCAGGATTGACTTTAATTTCCAGTGAAAAAGTATTGCAGACACCTGATGAAACAAGTCCCAAAGAGAAAGATTAGATGGAATTTTTTGTAAGGGACACACGCGAGAAAGCAAAGCTGTCCCAGTGAAGAATCGATGGCTGTCTGAAACTGCACATACATTTATCCCACCTTATACTTTTGGCCTTCACAACATCCCCAACAAGCTCCACAAGCTGTCTAGTGTGAAGTAGTAACAAGTTGTCAGAAGACACCAAAAAAAAAACCCTTTTAAACCACGTTGCAAACATCTCTAAGAGCTTTACAAAGGAGAGTGGGAGTCACTCAGCACAACTGGCGGGTGAGGAAACTGAGGTCCAGAGAGGTGAAGTGACTTACCCAAACAAGTCTCTAACCGAGCCAAGGATCAAACACAGATGTCTGACTCTCATTCTAGTGCTCTGCTAGCCCAGATCCCCAGCTATTGCTAGACATATCTCCAAATGATGCCAGGGCCCAGACACTGGCACCTGGGGAGGCTTCACTCACCAGTCAAAGCTTGTAACTTTCTATGGCACTTGTTCACCCTTCCAAAAGCTAAGGCTGCAGCTAGTGCAAGGCCCTCACTGGCCCCACCTAACCCTGAGAGATCCAAGTTGGGAAACTGGTGTGTCCGGGTGACTCAAAGCTAGCCAGGGTGCAACTGGGTCACTGTTACTCAATCATTTCTGAAATATCCAGCTGAAGCGACACAGGCTTCCCACCTGAAACATTCCCCTCTTGCCTTTCACTGCCCCAAAACCCACCTGCTTCTAACACACGGAGGGGTGGAGCTAATGAAATCCTCCCCAAAACTGAACCCTTCAGAGTAGCTTCCCTAAATGTACAAACCACAAATATACCCTACATCAGGCTGCCGGCCCCACATGCAGCCCCAAACCCTTTAATTCTGAACACTCCCCCCACGAATTCCCACATCACCAAGCCAAGCCCCCTGCCCCCCATGAACGGTCTTTCCCTCTCCAGCCTGAGCCACCACATCTCCTCCCCAAAACTGAACCCTTCAGAGTAGCTTCCCTAAATGTACAAACCACAAATATACCCTACATCAGGCTGCCGGCCCCACATGCAGCCCCAAACCCTTTAATTCTGAACACTCCCCCCACGAATTCCCACATCACCAAGCCAAGCCCCCTGCCCCCCATGAACGGTCTTTCCCTCTCCAGCCTGAGCCACCACATCCCGCAGGTCCCCGTGGCCCCGTATCCACAAACCCCAGTCCCACAGACCGCCCCAGTTCCTCCCCAACCCGACCCGGCGCTCACACCCACTG